AGGAAAGGCTGGGAGGTGTCCCAGCCACACAGGCAGCTTCCCTTGGTGCCCAGAGCAGGAAACACCACGTACAGGACACCCGAATTTGCTAGTGGTGTTGCTCATGGAACTACTAATTTAAAGTGTGTGAACTTCTTACATACGAAAGAAATATTTAATTTCAAGGGTTTTTTTTTCCCCCTAAAGTACTCTTCACAAAACAGTATCCCGGCATCTTTTGCCCCTCACCACCCTGTCTTATGTGACTGCCTTATATCCAGGATAGAATCTTACAGAATGCTTAGATTTTTGTCAACTTTACCCAGATGTGATTTTTTTTTTTTTTTTTTTTAACATGCAGTGACTCTTCTCTTTCTCAGGACGACAGGAACAGATGTGTTTGGAATTACTGTACCTCTTATTACCAGTACTACTGGAGATAAACTTGGCAAGACCGCTGGCAATGCAGTTTGGCTAAACAGAGATAAGACTTCTCCGTTTGAGCTATATCAGTTTTTCGTCAGACAACAAGATAACGTAGTTGAAAAGTAAGTAGTTTTTCTTCATCTTGCTTTTTGTCATTGTTTCTAGAACCTCATCCTAACTGTTCTCTCTGTTTTGTGTGGATATGTACACCCTCTCCTTGTAGAACTATATGTTAATTATAACTGTACATTCATTAAATAAACAGGCGTGACTGGTTCGTAAGCATACAGAATAGCGGAACCTGTCTCCGTATGCTGACGTAGGCATCATAAAATTAGAACATGGGTGACCAAACAAGGCGAGCACAACGCATTTTCTTCTGCCAGTGGGGTGGCTGTCTTACGAGCGATGTTAGTTGCAGTACCGTAACATCACAGTGTCAAATGACATCTCTCCTCCTGAGTAATAAGCAGCTGCAGTTTAATAGATCTCAATTACTACAAGTTTTTACCTAGTATGAGATATCCAGAAACACCGCATTCTGATTGCAAGAACCTACTTAACTGGTTATAAAGTAACACAAAGTTCAGCTTCTAGAACTGCATCACATTAAAAACTGCATATCCCTAAGCAAACTGAAATAGTGCCTTGTTAGGAAAAAGCCAAGAAATTCCTATTTATGATTGAATTAACTGTCTAGATTAGTGGTCTCCAGATTTTTTTGATCATATGCCCCTGTCAGTAAAAAAAAAATTCTGAGCATGCACTCGCCATACATGTGTATTTATTTATAGATTATATAAATGTACTACTGAAGTTTTAAAATCTTCTTCCCATACCCCATGGATCATCTTGTGTGCCTCCTGGGGTGCTGGCACCCCACTTCAGAGACAGCGGTCTGGCTAGAAACATGCCTAGGAGACAGTTACACTGTCAACTACTGCTTAAAGCTGTCACACGTACAAAGACGAAAGTCTGAATAACCATTACTTAGGGTAGAGCAATTGCAATGAGCAAAACATGGCTTTGGATTCATTGTGCTACCTCTGAATCCACGTCAACCACACATTGCTCATACTCTTACTGACCGGTGTAAAAATATTAAAATCACCTAGTCAGAACACGAAAGGGTAGCGAAAATAGGAGAAACACCATTTGACGGGTTGCCTTCATTGTCAGCTGGCCTCCATGCTGGTGTGACAGTGACATGGCTGAAAATAAACAGCCGATAGCTTTATTCAGGGCATTATGTGAATTTAAATAAGTTACTGTATGTTCTCTTTTAAATCTGCTTTTCTTTAATATCACTGTCAAATCTAGGTCTTCGTAAGCCTCAGAAAGGTACTTCCCTTTCACATTGTGACCTGTCTCATAACTCAGTTACCTCTCTCAAAAGTTTATGCCCTGATATTTCGAATTTAGGTTCTGCATCCATACTTTCCAGACTGGTAAGAAGGGTATCCATTAAAACGTGTCATGCGTTCAGACTTTGTAGTAGTAAAGGTACCTTTTTTTTAATACACTGCGTTTCATTCTGCTGCAAACCCATTAAAATGGACTATGCTTAGATACGCACCTTTAAATTCTTGATTATCCTAAATAATCCTGCTGTTGAGCTACTCGCTCGTCAATACATAGCGTACTTCTGTCCCGTGATCACCACAGAATGGCAGTGGTATTTTGCACTAGCATGTTGTGAATCTACTAAGAATGTAATATAAAACCTTGGTAGTTGACACACAATTGCAGTAGATCCTGCAAAGTAAATGCTTCAAGAGAAAACCAAGTTGTTGATTGCAATACGAGCTTTGTGAAAGCATTTGACGCTATCTTACATCTGAAGACACTACCCTAGGTGGAATATTAAAGAAAACGTCAGTTATCCTGGTAAGCTTGAAGCATGTGGGCAAAACTAAAGAGTTGTTTGAAAGGACAGAATATCTGTAATACAGATTTCTTAAATGTACTAAGAATTGTTTCAGTGTAGTTAATGAAGTTTGAATGACAAAGGCAGGAAATCTGTAATGATGGCTATATAGACAAAATATTTTTTTTCCCTGCTCATAGATACCTGAAACTCTTCACTTTTCTTCCTCTTGAGGAGATTGACCACATCATGGAAATGCATGCTAAAGAACCTGAAAAATGGGGCCCTCAGAAACGACTTGCTGCAGAAGTAACCAAGCTTGTTCACGGTAGAGAGGGGCTAGAATCTGCTAAGAGGTAAAGTTGGATTTGTCAGGCAGTTTTCTTTTAAGATTTATTCAATGGTAATTATCCATAGCTTTTCAGGGATTATTTTCATGTAGTTGGTTGTTGCTCAGCTGTTAAAAGAGGAAAATGTAGTAATTCTGTAGACTTAAAAATACATTAACTACGTAAAAAAATTGCAGTGCAGTGGGTTATGATAAAAAAGGGACTTGGGGTGTACTTCAAGTACTTCTGTTACTGCGTGGACCCTCAGAAGAAGTCGGGGAGGGGAATCTGTCAGTTAAGTGGCACTTTGTGTGAAGGTGAGACTAGTGCTGTATTCTGAATGCTCTTTGTTCTCACAGGTGTACTAAGGCCCTTTATTACAACAGCGTGGAGGCGTTGGAAGCTATGTCTGACCAAGAGTTACAAGAACTTTTTAGACAAGCTCCTTCAGCTGAATTGATGCTTGAACCTGGAATGAACGTTCTTGACTTGTGTCGCCAAGCAAATGCCATTCCAGATGGACCTAGTGGGTACGTTGCCACCTGTGCTCTTCGGTAATGCCTCACAGAAACGAGCTGTAATGGTACGTTGCCAGAAGTTAAACGATTGGGACAGCCAAATTAAGTACAATCAGGCTAGCAATCTACATCCCAGCATTAAAGAAGAGGGGAGCAGGCGGCCTCATTCCACTTTGAAGTGAATGAGTAGGATAATGTAAAATCTACACCGGCTGAAGGGACAGGCTAAGGCAACAGCCTAAGTTTCCTTACACCTCTCAGAAGGAATGGGAGTGGTAGAGGCTAAGGTTAATTTCAGTCACTCTTGACCCTGACTGAAAATAAAATACAAGAGAATTAAGAATTACTCAATTATAGATCCAACCAAAAAACCTTTAACTGAACTTTCAATACTTAACAGCAATAAATAGCAGCTTCTTGCAATTACCAGTTTTTGTTTTTGTTTTCAAGGTACCAGAAAATTACAGATGGTGGAGTTTCAATAAATGGGATTCGAGTAACTAATCCTGAGACTGTTCTTGTTCTCGGACAGCATATTCTCAAGAATGGAGTATCACTGCTTAGGATTGGAAAGAAAAATTACTACATTATAAAATGGCTGCAGTTGTGACAACAGAACTTCTCCCTAAAATGATGTATCATTTTGACTGTTGCTCGAAGATGTACTTGAAGATGTTTCTATACTGTGCGTTACTACGCAGCTTACAGACTGCCTGATACCCTAGTTGCACTCTCAAAATACACCAACAGAGTTCAAATGAAGGCAGCTAAGTTATACCACTGAAGAGATTTTTAGATGCTCTGCCTTATTCAAAGAACCATTCATAAGAGGATATGCACAAGAAGATTTCAAAGTCCAAAGATGGAGATGCTCTTCCCCTCCTTTATGAACCTCCTGTGTTGTAGGAGGAGAACAGTGTTCAGGTACTCTGCAGCATAATCCACGGCAAGATGAGCAAAAGCATACTCAAATACTTACAGAGGATGTATGCTGCTGTGCAGTTTGACTTCATCCTAACAGAGAAACCTGCACAAGTGGGTAAGGACAACCAGCCTACAATGAGCATTTTTTTTTTTCTGAACAGGTTTGCTTTGAAGGAAGCTGCAGAAGATTCATAATAAATGAGTAGAATGATTAAGCCCTAATATGTAAGCTTCTTATTAGTTACGTATGGGGGCACATTGCAGAAGAGTTTTCATGTGGTAATACAGGGCACATTCACTTTCTTAGAGCTAAGAGAGTATAGAGCCTTTCAAAGCTGACATCAGCCTGATGAATCCCTTTTATGCCTTCTGGGTGCTTAGTGTGACTTACAGCATGGGTGACACTCATTCTGCTGCTTCAGTCCTGTGAATTACGTGGATGCATCTGTGCCATCTGGCATCTCTGTAGAAGGTAGATCCTGGCACTGGGTCTGTGGGCTCTACAGTAGCAAGACAGTGTATTTTACCAGACGATTTGAAGCATGTACATGAAAGCTTTTTTAATTTTAGGTGCCTAGGAGTTGTGGGTGAACAGCAGCACAAAGGTACCTGGACCAGGACATGTGAGGGAAGCTCTAGGGCTTTTGCAATTAAAAAAGTCAGACCCTTCATACAGGCCAACGTGCAAAAGCTGCACTTCTTCAGGAAACAGCAGAAAGTGATCCTGCTGCTTATGGCCTAGCCAGCATTTTCTTGTAAAGACAGCATGAAAGTAAGAACGTACTTCAAGAGGCAGAACAACATCATTATATTTACAGGTAGTATTGCTTTATTGCTCTAAAACACCACCAGCTCTTTTTAGCACTTGCCACTACAGCTGCTTACACACCTGGAATCAAATAAACACGGAGTACAAAGCCTTAATGAAGTCCCTTCTGGTGGTGGGTTTGGGATTGGGGTGCTTAGGCAATATAGGTGCTACAGTACTTACAGCCAAGTCACCTGAACAACAACAAAACCCACAGATGGTTACCACAATTATGTGTAGTACAAGCCCACATTTGAATTACTTAGAACTGATTCATTTAGAATACAGTAATGGAGGGGGCTGACTCAGAACTTTTTTTTATGAAGAGACCCTCCCCACCCCAGTGCAAATACTTATGAAACCCTCAGTCTGATTTATGAGGTGATTGATTGATTGTTTTGGGCCTTGGCTGCAGTGTTGTTTTCAAAGTTTAGGGTAATCCTCACTCTTGGGCCACAGAGAATCATCTCCTAGCCCATGAAGCTCCTAGACAATCCAGTTTGGCAGTCACAGCAGCCAGAAGGGAGAGGCCTTAATCTTAGCTACCTTAAGGTGGTAACTCATCACCATCTCTGATGTCGTTAGAATGTCATGTTGTTTAAGCTGGTTTAAAACCATCCAGCCTCTGACAAGAATGGGAAAATTATAAGAAATATTAGTCAGTCTCAGGAATCTAGATATTCTATAGCTGGGTGGGGACTTTCTGTTGGTTTTTTAGGTGGTAGGTTTTTTGGGGTTTTTTCCTAACTGGATGCGATCAGCTTGATGTTGGCTTTATTTGCACTGTCAATCAAGATTCCAACAGTAATAATTTATAGTGGCTTGTTGCTTATACATCACAGTTTCTTCATATTGTTAAACTCATATGGTAGCACTTTCACACCACATGGAGTTATTAGTATTAATTTCTAGATCATGGAATCATTAAAGTTGGAAAAGCTCTCTAAGATCATCAAGTCCAATCGTCAACCCAACACCACCATGTCTGATAAACCATGTCCCGAAGTGCCGTATCTACGCCTTTTTCAAACACCTTCAGAGATGGCAACTCCACCATTTCCTGGGCAGCCTGGTCCAATGCTGCTTATCTGCCTGATAATAAGATCTCTCCCTCTATCCTAATCTCTGTTATACAAAGAAAAATTAAAAAGTAGCTGAGTCATTCCAACCTTAACAAAAAGCTGTACCTGACCTTTTCACTCTAAGGACCAGTTTCTGTTACCTGTTACTTTGCCTCAAGCTGCAGTAATGATCAGCGCTGTCCTACGGAAAGCATGTGGAAGAAGAACAACAACTCTGACATGAAAAGGGCAGAAGAAGGGAAGGGAAAGTTTAAGTTCACCCATTTAATATAGCCACCTTGTTCCTTAAATGGCAGAAGCATTACAGCAATACAGGAATGTGCACCTGGGAACAAAACAGACCAGTACACACCCATGTCAGCCTCCACAGAAAAACAACAGATCAGATTTGACAGTTACCTTCTGGTTGCACAAAATAAAACTCCTAGAAGCAGAGTAAGTCACGTTTCGTATCTGATCGCTTTCCTGCCTTTTTTCTTTCATCTCCAAAGGGTGCAGCTATACATATATCCACAAGTTCCAGCTTTTTTTTTTTTTTTTAAAGCATTAGTACCCACTTTGACCAAGTATTAAAAGGATTTTATTTATTTTTACAAATACAAAATTTTAAAAAGGGAATTCTTTGCATACAAGATTTCTGGTAAGATCCATAAACTCCAAGAAATTTAGTCCGTGCTTCCTTTGACCACCTCCTAGCAATCCAAACCCTTCCCTGACTCTTTCCAAAGAAACAGCTGGACACAACCTCTACTTTTCATGACTGTATAGGGTATCACAACTGAGCGTCTGAACACTTGGGCTGAGAATCAAGGATGACCAAAAAAATCGAATATTCTCTCTTAGCCTGGTCGCGTTTCTCATATACCCCAAAACATGTATGCTCAGGTAATCAGAGACATAGCTTGTTCAAATGTCACCAAGCAGTAACTAATATTAAAGTATTTAACATGTCTACAAATATGTGATTTGGAAGTGCAATAAGAAAAGTAATTATTTGGGCCAGATATTAAAAAAAAAAACCAACAAAAACCATTTGGACAGCATCTAGGGACAGCAAAAACCAAAGGACTTGAATTTAACATTACTGTGGCAGGTAGCAATGAAGGGGTAAAGGGTGAAAGGGCATGCAGCAAGTAAATGAAAAGGGAGCTATGGGAGCATGAAAGCACCTTCACTAGTTTCAACAGTGTCACTGGGCATAAAACCATATTCAGGTGGTCTACTTTGTCTTTCTCTTAAACTTTGAAGTATAATCATCTAGCGCTCACCTCAAAGCACAGAGTTTAAATGGCAACAAGTTAAAAAGCAGATGCATTTGAGATCTTCAGTATCTACAGAAAACACCAGCTAGCAATTGCTCTCACAGCTAAAGGATTTAACTGTGGGGAAGAAAAAAAAAAAAAAGAGTTACCAACAGGGGCACAAGAGACTGGCAAGTTGTTTACCTTGCTGTGTTCCATAAAGCAGGGACCTGAGTTTGCAATATCCAGTCTGGCATCTTTCAAAATCAATCCTTCATACAGCATAGGGTAAAGGCAAGTCTTAGGTCAGTTTTGTTGTGCTGACCTCCAGAATACAGTCTGAAGCACACAGATGCCTCCCTTACCCATCTAGTCCACTGAGAGAAATTTGAAGCTGACTAGTAAAAAACCCAAGTAATTTATTGACAAACTCTGTTCACATAGGGATACTATGTTTTATTTGCATTAGTACCACACATAGCTCAGGTATTAATGTCAAACATTTACTAATCTAAACTTAGCTACAGCGGTTATCCTCCCCCATGATTGTGTGTTTCACTGGATAGCAAGTTATTTTAAGGTAGCTGAAATTTGTGCATTGATGACGAAAGTATTTCTAGTTTAAATTAAATAAGGTGAACTAGAAGACATTTGTAAACCATCAGTCTAATCTGGGAATGTTCAGTTGCTGCCCCCATTAGGCTTTTTTCCATAGCTTCCCCATGATTTCTTTTAATGGTGGCAGTAACATTAGTGTTTTAATTATTTTACTTCGATTCCAGAGAACAGATTGTTTAAAAACCACTGATAGCCACTAGCACCCTATCTACACTATTACTTACGCAACTATACAGGAACTAACAATGCAGAATTGAAGGAGGGCAAACATCCAGGCTGTACAAATTTAGGTAGTTACACTGTTAACTTGTAAGAGCATGTAAGTCCTGCTACCTGAACTACAAGTCAGTTCAAAACTTTACTTCTGGGATAATTAATGTTGTGTATCATCTGTTTATTTAATAACAAGATTGTTACAGCATGGATTTTTAAAGACTTGCATTAAGGATTACAAATCAAGTTCATTTCTTGGCACTCAAACATTACCAAATCAAGAATTTCTGTGAAACTTAAACAAAAGCAGTAATAACATTTCAAAAAATAAATTAACACTGTGGAAATTTCACATGACATTACAGAGCCAGTTATCACTTGCAGGAATTTCTTAAATAAATGGAATTCATTTCCTTTATGCAGCATTTCAAAACTTTACAAGTCAGAATACTTCTTCACAAGAGACTGTTGACTGAACTTTGGGAGTTAAAGCTTAGGTAGCAGTTCACCTATGGACGGATCTACCTTGTTGAAAACATATTTCTTAGATGTTGAAAATAAAAGGGACAGAGGTGTCGAGTGAATTCCAACCAGAAATGTAATGATTTTGACAAAACTATTAAAAGCTTTCACTGTTCACCAAAATTGATTTGAAAGTGGCTTGCACTTCACTGCAGTCACATTTCTTAAATCTGAGAACTACCGTCCCTGGATACAGTGCAAGAAATTAAAATTACTTCTTTTGTATTCATTACATGTAATTCATACATCATGACATTTAGGTTGTTTAAAACTACAGAATATGTATTTCTGTGTTCTGCATGAACTATTTCAGATCATGCATAAAAGTATCCAAAAGTTGCATCTGTTAAACGTAACTCCTTGTGCTTATATTGGTGCCAAACTGAAGATCACCATGAGAAAAATACATTTTTAAACAGACCTTCTTGTAAACTGAGGTCTTAAATTTTCTTCAGCAGCTTACAAAAAGAATTCCATTTCTGTTAAGTGATGAAATGGGGAGGGAACTCAATATGGTAATAAAAACTTCACTGTATTGGCCCAATATCTTCAAAGCAAGCCACTGATGTTAACAGCAGTGTCCTATTTTTCATGCAAGTTGTGTTAAAACATACAAAATATGAGCAACACCATAGTAAACATTTTTACATTATTCGAAAAAGTGAATCTGCTTGAAAAGTACATGCAAGTGTGCTGGCTGGTGTTTAAATAAATTTTTTATTCATAAAAATTAAAATTTTTACTTTTTAAAGGCCAGTGTGATCAATATTTATCTCTATGAATTATAATCAGAAGAAAATAATTCATCAACTTAATTTCCAACCTAAAATTCCCACATTTTAGGATTGTCCTCAAAAAAAGAAAAAAAATAAAAAAAGCTACTTACAGCACAGTAAAATTTCTTCAAAAGTAACTGTAACCTCTGGTACAAATATTCCAGTCCCACAGACTTTCTTTCATACTGTCATACATTCCAAAATTTGGAAGAAGTTGTGGGCATCGCCTTCTCCCTGGCCAACTCGATCTGTTTTTAAAAGAAACACTTACTATCCTGTAACAGTTTTGAAATCCGTTTTTATTTTTCGGTTCTGCCAGAACAAATTTATTATTGGATGGTCCAGGGGCTTGGTCCCAGGGGGGAGGAAGGAGGAGGTGTTTCTGTACCTGATTATGATCCCCAACATTCATACACAAGCTCCAGTGCACATGAATAACTTTGCACCCACTTTTTAGTAGACTGTTACTGTTCACAAGCTCCAGGCTAACTCTTCCTACATGATACTCCAAGTGAAGTTCAAAGTTTCGTCTGCAGTTTTAACATTTGGGGAAAATAAATGGGGACACGCACACATAGTAATACGGTAGACATCTCTACTGTGCTATAAAATCGATACCTCCATCTGTCATAGTGCATGCAATATATTCATGAAAGAAAATACTCGGTGCTCTCTTCTCTTCACAGTATTTAAACTTCTATTGTAAAAGCAGCTTAAAACTATGCCACAAGACTACACCGTCCATCTTAACCACAGGCAACCTGTTTAGCAAGTCAGGCACTGGAACTTTAATGTTTTTTCCCAAGTTCAGATGAGACTGTCACTGAGACAGTAGACTTGGTCTGCTTTAATTTGCACCAGAAAGCTGGTAAGGAAACATTTAGAGCCATTTATTATGTGGATTAAATATGACTTATTTTGCAAAATACAGCATATTTTTCTGTTTGCAAATCAAACCAACTGTCTTTACATGAGCAGATTTACACAGTTGCAGTACACAGATAAGAGTTCATAAATAAAAATTCTACTCCGTATACCATGCCTAGCAATTTTCAAGTCAATGTAACCTCCAATGCATATAAATAGTGTGGGGCTTGTACAATCTTCACCAAAGATGTGTCTCACGAATCTCTGCGATGATCTGACTGGCTCGCTGCAGGGCCTGCACACAGAAAGACAGAAAAGCCAAAGTCACTTAGATTTTATGAAGAGATTTCTCAGAGAGATAACAGCAGCAGTCTAGGAAGTGTCATCTTAAAATAAAATGAAAGCAAACCATTTTCATTACAAAATGAGCGGTAACAACCTGCAACAACATTTGATTAACAACTCTGAAGCCTTCCATCTGCAAAAGATTATGCAAGTGGAAAATACTACAAAGCAAAAGGTAGTGGTAAAACTTAGCATACGTGTCATTAAATAATTTCTTTAGAGAGATTAAGAATTAAAAATTATTTGAAAACTGAACTTACAATTACAACAAAAAGAGCTTGTTGTCATTGTTTTAAGCCACTTTTACATACTCGGTGTTCCCAGTAACACCTATGTTTGTCTTAAAATTTTGTATTTATAAATAAATTCTCAAGAAGGACAGACTTTCTCACCACACACGGTTTTAATGATTTAAACCTTCCTCAAAATAAAAGGAAAACTGCACCTATTGTATATCACTTCTGGCATTCTGATGCATTCATTACAGTCTAGCCTGCTAAACTTGGCAAATTCAAAAGCTCAGAATACCAACTAACACTAACATTATTTAAAGTATTACTCCAATTTGGGGAAATCTGAGCTACAACTTTAGCATTAGAGAGTTTATAGTTTAAAAAGCTGTTAACAGACAGTTCCCCTCACTCGAATGTTCATTGTGTAATAGCAAAGATTAAACTTGCTGCAGGTGGTCTTGGACAAGCAGTATCTCAGGGTATCCAATCTCTCAAACACGCACTGGCTGACCACACTGCACGTGAGAGAGAAGCACCTCTTGCTACGACTTCAGTGAGCTGAACTGGCAGAGGGACTCTTTTCTATGCAGTTCAACGCAAAGCAGAGTATTATCTACGTAATACTTTCTGGGCACATACTGCTTTTAATTCCTCTAGCAGAGAGAAGTAACACACAGACACTCTAAAAACGCAGCAAAGGAAAAAGGCAGGCAAGTCTTGCAAAAAAATCTCACTTTTATATGGTTTTGATTTAATTAACTGCTCCCATGAGCTCCTGATCTTTTTAGTACCTTTAGCATGTCAGCTGCCTCTTTTCTGCGCTGTGCCATGTCCTCAGATTCCGTCAGAAGGTCATCCAGCAACAAGGATTTATACAGCTGGCCCACCAGCTCACTCTGGAGAGTGTCTTTCACGTGGTTCACCAGAAAATGCATCACTGCCTTTGGCACACTGCAATCACAGAAAAATTGTTGCTTTAGAAGTATTCAAAACCAGGTCTGCTCTAGATTGAAGAACCCACAGTGTGTGCCAGCAGCTACACACAACCTTGGGTCAAACTACCAGGAATCTACCACTACTATAAATAAAAACTCTCTCTCAAGTAAATGCAGTATCTTGTGCAATTTAAAAGCTGTTGAATTTCTTCCAAATAGGATGGCTGCATTGGAAAGAACATGAATATATACAGTGGGGAAAATATTTACGTGAGTATTGACAAAATCACATCATCACACCAACACATTACCAGGATCTGGGGATATAAACAGAGGATCAAAAACTGAATTAGTACACCTCATGTTATTTCATCAGAGTGACAATAAAAATACTGATGGTGGTTGTTCCCGACTGAGAAATAAAATATGTTGGTTGAGACAACCTCGTTGGTTGATTCTCAGCAGCAGCATTTTGCTACTAGAGTAGACTGGGGGTTGACATATAATCCATACTAACTCACTGAGTAGTGACCACATCACTCTTGTCATGTGCCCATAGCCCTAGATCTAAATCAAAATAATTTTCATGGGCAGATCAAGAGTTTTTGCTCAAAGTGCTGCAATTGTCATTGTAGAATTAACTGGACAAGGACCACACAAGTCTAAACAGCTAGACCCAAGATCAACCAAGATCTGTCAACATATCTCAGCTTTTGAAATCATACTCCCAAGTTTGGCTGGGAATTTTCTCATGCTTTATGGTTCTTTACTAGCCAGTTGTGGGAAGACTTCTGGGACATCATGATGAGACCATACAGATCTGTTAGTACTCAATTAATTCAGTTTACACCCTGTTTTCAAGCCAATACATTGGAAGTCCTACCAAAAGAAGAGCTTAAGAGAGACGCCTAGAATATTTTGGAAGTCACCTGGCTAAGAGTGAAAGGAACCCAAAACTCAGGTTCAAAGTTGTGTGGCTACAGATACCATCCAAACCATCCAAGTAAGAGCCTGAATTAGTTCTACAACCATGATATGGGATGGACGTGACTACCATCTTTGAGAGGTGTTTCCTAAAAAAATTTCTGAATTAGGTGAGGATGTCCTAACACATCAAATTTATAATGCTTGAGACAGCTTTTTTTTTTTTTTGTTACATATGCATTTTCACTACAAAGAATGTGAAGGGTTTGTCTGAAGCACACAAGGAGGTAACACTATTAGCACTAACACTGCAGTAAAATTAAGGTAAACAAAGCAATTCTTTGCCATGAAATACTAAAAATTGTATTAAGGACAATAATCGTTTACTGGATATAGTAAAACTTCTATGAGCTCATTAATCTGCTTTAAACTCTGATTTCCAGATTCTCGTATTTCCCCCCCAAATTTCCCCCATATATATACATATATTTTATATATATATAAAATCAAGTATTTCCACAGAGACTTAGGCAAAGAGAAGCTTTACATTGTTCTTCGTTACACACAACCAAAAAAAGAGTATGACAGTTTTTAAGCAAATCTTTAAAGGCATTTTCCATATTGAAAGGCTTGAACATTTATAGGAATATTTGTTTTACCTGTCCTGAATGTTCTTCCTGACAATAAGGAAGTAAGATTTAATAAGTCGTTCAATCACTTCACAATCTCGTTGCTCACGGGCAGAAAGTTTGCGTGCAACAGGTACAGGCTATGTAGAAAAATAAAAACCTCAGTTTACTCAAGGTGCAGAGTCCAAAATAAACTATTGCTCTTTTAGTCTGATAGTCTGACAGATGTAACCTGTCTTGCAACAAACTTCTAATTCTTCAGAAATAAGAGACATGTCAAAATCCAGATCTGCGAAACAAAGGTCAGAGGGCACCACTAAATTTTTTTTAAAAGCTTATTAAAGGAACTAAGGTCTCCAAACACTTAAAAGATCTCCACCTATTTTTAACTTAAGTGGGTTTTGTTTTTAATGATTCTTTTCCTCTAATACAAAAATGCCAACTTCAGCAAAAAACAGCAGGCATTTGAGTTGAGACATGGCCTGAGATTTGTTTCTGTAGAAAAAGCGATCTAGACAAGGAGTTCACTTGTACAGACTGTGAAAGGAAGCCAGTTATCCCAAATCATAGGCTGAAACTGGGCGGGGGGGGAATGAAGGATTCGGCAAGCAGGAAAGGAACAGAGGAGAGTGGCTAGAGTTCGCTGTCCCTACAGTGGTAATTATTTACAAAGATACCATATATCAATAGCAAAGTTACAAGATCTGGAATGCAGATGGCTTCTTTGCTGAGCCTGAACTACGAAGAGGAGGTATTTGTCTTTCATGACTCACCACATCTAACAGGTTTACAGCATGTCCTTTCTGAGGACTAGCAGGCAGGGCTGCAGCTGGCTTGGATTTTTCCTCTGCTGATACCTCTTCCGCTTTTGAAGGTTTCAGCATTCCTCTCCAGTTGCCTGTTCCAGGCTCCTGAGACGTCTCTCCAGCTCCAGAAGCAGCCTGCACAAACAGCACAATGAAGAAACGTTGGAGAGTTAGAACCTGGGCACTGCAAAGCAGCGGCTGATCAAATCTACTAATACTGAGCTTTAGGTAAGACTTGCTAAAAGTGAGATTTTCGTATGTATATTCCCTTCATTCTGTTCTTCACATTCCCACCTTTGTTCTCCTTTTGCTGCTTACAGCTGACCCAAAATACCAGAAAGATTAAAGCTTTTAAAACTACTGTTCTTCCTAATAATGGTATAAAAAAGCCTCCACAGAGAAGCTCCCCAGCTTTTTAAGGGTCTACAAACACTCTGGAAATTTGGCTTTTGCCACTTTTACCATACATCCTTGGAGCAATACAACCTACACCATCAGGATCATTCCAAAAATATGTTTTGAAGATCACCACAGCTCTTGGAAGACTTGAATTTAAATTCTTTGGTATTTTATTTAAATAGTTTCTTACAATAGCAGCTAAAAAATATGCACATTTATGTTTTTGGGTACAAAAGCTACAAATGTCTTTGTGCTGCCAGACCTCAATTTACAGAAGGCTTTTTTGTACCACATCAAAACAAAACAAAAATCTCCATCCTCTGGAAGTGAAGATCAGAGTTTCTGGGAAGTTCCAGACAAAGAACGACTCACTCATCTCCTGAGAAAAGGATGTAACACCCAACTCTTAAACATTAGGTATCACTGGACATAAGAAATATTAGTAGATGGTATCCACCATATGTTAAATTAGTATTAAAAAAAAGGACAGTTTATTTTGATGTGGAACAATGGTAATTTTTATTTTGTACCTCTCCATAAGCCTAGCATCTGCTCAATTTACTCCTGTACTTTAAAATCTATTGCTGTTTGAAAAACATTCTAGGTCATTTATGGCTCTGAACTACTACTGCTACTGTCTTGTCTCAGATATAGGAGGAAATAAGCTAAATTTATCTATTATATTTACAGTTAAACCACCGCAGGCTGATCTTGAGTCTAAGAAAAAAAAAAGAGAGCGAGAAACAAAGCATGGCAGACAGAATAGCAACAGCTGCATACCAGGAGGAAACCCAGCTAAACTGTGCACATCAGAAGTTTTATTAAAATTGCACAACTGCTCAGAGGCGCTGGAAAAACACTGTGAGAATTCAAATCAACCTCTACTATTAAGAGAGAACCATTGATGAGGAAAGCTCTATTATATTATTTCTGATTCCAAGACAGCTATTCAAAATGGCAAAAATCCCTCTGCCACTCTCATTCAGTATTACCGTGGAGCCCGCTCTATCTCCAAAGTAGTTTCAGACACAAAGCTATCTTCTTTCACAAACAAACAGAGTGTTGAGTACGTACCACCTAATAAAGGACAGATTTTGTGGGAAACACAAATTAAACCAAATTTGGCAGCTTCCTGCAACTTCTTAAGTCACAACAGTATCCTCACAGTAGCTCTTGATTTCTTTGTAGATGTTTGCAGCTTATCAGAACTTCTAAAACTCTGACATAAATAATAGTTAAAATTCTACTGCTGACTAGATTTTGACTTTAACTACTTTGTTCAGGACAGAAATAGCAGCTTTGCACTAGAACCTGAATGTGCATATGCAATGAAGTAGAAAGCTTGAGTCCTCTTGGTACTCACGACACAAGCTTGTGACTACCCTTCTTTTCTCACTCCAGGTGAAAGCAAGTAGCAAAAAAGTCTTTACAGTAATAAGCTGTTATTTTAACATGGGAGACAGCACACCTAAAGTGTAAAAAACCACTGCAGAACAGAATTCACAAATATAAGTAAACCAGGGATTGAACGATTATAAGAAACAACAAAAAGGAGGTTCAGTTTGAGCAAAGCCTACAAAGATTCCCTGCAGGAAGCAGGAAACTCACATTTTTTAGCTTATCTTCTGTCCTCCTTCTTTAACTGTCAACACATTAAAAACATGCAGTTTAACAACCATGCTGAACACTTTCGATTACAATATTTTGCACCAAACAATCTACTGACTACAGTTTGAGGAAATTTATGCTGTACAGTAGCACCACAATATATTGCAACCAAGAGTTCAAACAGAAAGCAGTGACTTTGCCACCTAATGGCGCATCCTTACCTGCCACTGCACGTACTGACATCAGTAATGCCAAGCAGTGTATACTCTGTAGGGCACACTGTGTCAGCGACAGAGCACTAAATACGACCTGCTTTCCATACTACCTGCGGTGCACCACAACAGAAATGTGCATGCAGTGCTTATAGGAAAAATCAAGACAGACCTTGCCATCAGCCTCAGCAGAAGCAGCAGTAACAGTCTCCTGGGAAGCAGGTGTCAGTGCACCTGGAGCTTTAGTAGACTAAAGAAGGTAAAAAAAACGCAGGGAGGGGGGAGGAAAAAAATTCAACTGAAGACCACTAGGTCTACCTAGCAAATTAGTACACTTTTACCTACCAGCACCTTTAAAAATCCAGAAAAGAAAGCATTTTGAGTTTGCAAGCAACACAGTAATATAAGCAGAAAAGGAAAAAAAAAGCATCTCAGACAACTAAGAGACTTTTGGCCTATCTGGCCTTCAATTTAATTTCAGCTCCTATACTGCTGATATAAATACAATCAATAAAAAGAAGGATCAAACAGCACTGAAAACAATCTCTAGATAGCTACCTTAAATTCCCAGACCATCCATCAGCTGGCTTCTATCGATCAAAGGCAGTAATATTAGATCCATTGTGGGACTCCCTCTCACTTTTTAAGCTAACAAATTTAATGAACTGATTTCTATCAGCTCTGGTAACTCCTGTTACAACCTGTGACGAGTTTAAACTATATTCTGTATATTTGGTTTCTAAATACTTCACTTAATATTAAATACATAACTGTCTAAAATTCCAGCTGATTCATTCATTTCTACAGTGAGGAAATGTTTTCCATGACACTTGATTCTTTCACCCACGTACTTACATGCCATTAAACTAATCCCAATAAAACTAAACAAGCTCCAGAGACAGAATACATGACTGGATTATGATGATCAACTGAAAACATCACCTCCACCATCTTCTCCCAAAGAAAGCAAGACAGCAACAAACTGCAGTTTTAAGAGTGACTTAAACCCAAGCAACCAAGTCACTATGTTGGCACAGTGAATATTTTAAATCACTTGTTTTATCTTTCGAAATCAGTGCCTCTCAGCCATAAA